AACCCGGGGTGTCGGTACGTTTGGTATCCTTTATCGGGATGGGCGAGCGTGGCTTCGGACACCTGATTTTCTTTTACAAAATAAAACAAAAGACAGCAGTTAAGAGATGCCCAAGTGGCTCGTCCAAAGGCAGGAGCCGCTGCAGCGCCAGCATCCCCGCCAGGGCCGCGCTGCCCCGTGAGCCCAGAGCCGCTGCAGCCTGCTCGCTGGGCCCGCTCAGCCCGCGGGGGGACCCTGACCCTTCTGGGCTACACATCACAGCGACCTGGCTTTTAGGTGCTTTAGACAGGAAAATTATGTTGCGTTAAATAGTTTGACACTGAGTAACGCGAGGAATGGAATAGAAAACAAAGGATGTGTCTTGGATGAAAACAGCCCAGTTTGTAACCCAAGCACTGCCGTGAGAGCTGATTTTTATCGGTATAAATTCAGCGTGGAGACGGGTGAATGCAGCCGTGCGGCCCCGCTGGAGCCCTGGCACACGGCACCCCTGAGGGAAGGCGTTCCCGGGCCCGGCTCCCCGCGGTGGCCGCTCTGCAGCAGCCAGCTCTGCCCTCCCGGGGACGGCAGCGACTCCTGCCGCTGGAATAACAGCAGCTGGAGCCATCGGGATGAAATGGAGTCACGAAGGGCACAGGCAGGGAGATGAACAAAGCCAGACGTCTTTGCATCAGCTGGGACTAGGCACAGCAGAGGAACAGCTGTGTCCCGCAGGAAGAAGCTGTGGTCCAGACTGGCACAGAATCAAGGCTCCATGTTTTGGTTTTTTTCTGTTTGCAAAATACGTACTGCTTAATTCTGCTTCTGTTAAAATGCTTTTTCCAAATTAAGTGTGTTTGTAGGCAGCTAATTTTTGAAAGCAGCCTATCAAACAGGACTTGTGGAATAAATCTCAATGTTGTTAATCCAAGTTCCAGAACACCAAAAGATGAAAAGACAATCGAAGGACATTTTAAGAAGATTACAGGGAAAACTAATCTTGTTACACTGCAAACCCCTGTCATATGCACAACACAAAAGGAACTGTAAATGTGATTTGTGTTTCCTAGCTTGGCAAGGAAGGGAAAGTGGGAAGGTCTGAGATAGTCAGCAGCTGCAACAGAACTTAGCATTAAATTTATTTGATTTTATGTTTGAGTTTTATTCTCCTTGGCAAGACCAGGTGGAAAATGTCTTTATCTAAATGAGTTCTTCAGCTCGGTCAGGCTCATCAAACTCAGGAAGTTCTTCAAGAGGCAGCAGAAGTCTCTCCAGTCCCAGTTCTCCTTTCTGTGTGGTGCAGCGAGAGCTCTGGTGCCCCACAGCCCATCCCGGGGTGTCAGGGGACACTCCCGTGCCTTGCCCCACGTGCCCAGGGTCAGGGTAAAGATAAAAGTCATGCTAGTTTCTTTTTTTAAGTGCTGCAGCCCCAAAGAATGCATTTGTATTCTCTGCCAGCTGTCACAGGGACTCCGTCAGCATGTCCCATGTGCCAGCACAAAATCATTCTTTTCTCTGGGCAGGAGAACAGGAAAATATGAAATGTTCCTTAATTGCTAAACAAGGCCTTATTAGATTAAATAATTCATGCACCATCCTCTTAACTGCTACATGTTATGTTCAGGGCTCTTTTAAAATCAGAACTGACTATGAAGAAATCCAAACTTTAGTTGGGATACAACCTCTGCTTTCCCAACATAATAACCTGAACCAGAAAATCAGCACCAGATGCCTACAATATTCTTGACATTTCTGATACAGATTGTGATTTTTCCAGCAAATTGACTTTATTTTTAAAAAAAGATAGGCATCAAGAAAGCCATGAAAAGATCTCCCTGAACTGCTGGGTCAGCAGCTTCACTGTGACAGTCAAAATAAAAGTCAGCACACTAATGTGGGTTGGAAAAAAAGCTTAATGAGCTTCTGCCAAATCACACACATCTTTAGAATAGGAAAAATCCCAAACATAAAATTCACAGAATGGATTACTGCCTCAGCTCCAGGCTGCTTCCGATTTGGCTCTCCTGCAGAGCCTTTTACAAGAGTTAGAAGGTGTATTTTAGCTATTTTGCAGGTAACATTCCCCAAAAATATAGCACAAATTCTTCAAGATCTTAATTCTGAAGCCAAGACTGATGGATCACATATTTCTTCCCTGTGGAGTCAGGCCTTCAGGCACTGAAAGCAGGAGTGGAAGCTGGTGAGCCCAGCCCTCCCTGCTGTGCCCTGGGCAGCCCTGTGTGCAGAGTGGCTGCAAGGTTAAAAGGCTGGGCAGTAAGGGGGGCACTTGTGAGGAGAAACAGCAGCACTGTCTCAGCTCTGTCTCCTGCCTTTGCTGCATCAGGCACAGAGGAGACAACAGGAAAAGCAAGGGACTGTAGTACTCGGGCAAAGCTCCACTTTTATCCAGAGCTCATGTCAGCTCACCCAGAATCGACACGGTGCCAGTGTCCCACCTGGAGCCTGTGATTGCAGCAAGCTCTGGGAGAGGAGGCATTTCTCTTACACAAGCCCAAAGAGGGGATCAGGGTGTTTAACAGCAGTGAACAGCTGCCTGTGGCAAAGTGCCTTAATCCAGGTTCCTATGAAACACAGCATTAGCCACAAGTGATGCTGCAGAACGGTCCCAAGAGCAGGCTCTAGTCCCATCCAAGGAGAAAATTCAACAGCTGCAGATGAGGGTAGGGAGAACCTGGGCCCACTGCTGTCAGTGTGCTCCCTGCTTTCCAATAGGAATTGTTTAGTAAGGAGTTTCTGAGTTGGAAAAACTTGCAAAACAAAGCCTCAGCCTAGCAAGTTTCTTTTAATTTTTAAATGTACAGCATTTTAGTTCTACAAATGTAAAAAAAAAAACTAAAACCAAAAAAGCTTTACAATGTTTGGGAGTTTTTAGCTTATAATGATCACACCCAACGTGATTCAACGCAATCTGGTCTGCAGTTCCTGTGGCCCGATTGCTTTGGATGACGCAAATAAAATGGCCAAGACATTTAGCTCTGGGACAGCAGCTGCAGGAATTGCTCTCTGTGGCAGGAGCTCCTGCAGCGCTGCACAGGTGCAGGAACTGCTCCTGCAGTCCCAGGTAGGTAAACACTGAGCGTAGCTCACACTGGACGAGACACCGACACGTGTCAGCCTGCGGGGCCAGTGCTGGGGCCAGTGCTGCTGCAGGAGCCAAGCTCTGCTCTGCAGCACTGCCCCCAGGCAAGGCTGGGGCTCAAGTCACAAGCAAACAAGGAAATGGAGTTTAAGTCTCTACTTCGAGGAAGTCCCAACCACTGGCTGTGCCAGGTTCCTCCTTTAAGTAAACTTTTAAGTTTCACTTTAATGTCCAGTTTGAGCTCCCATTAACACAGCTGCACTAACACTGTGGCACAAATAACAAACTGTACCCACATTACTTTGCATTCCCTTGCCCTGCCAGGTCTGCACACCCTGCACAGCACAGAACATAGAACATTCTCTATGCACTCGAGAACCACTGGAAGTTACTCCACAGCTTAACACACTGCCCAGACTAGAACACAAGCATTACAAATCTATAAAAAAGCAGCCCCTGTGGTGGTGTACGGGAATAAATTAACCAAAAAAATTTAGTATTACCATTTATTGGTGACAAACACTACGTTTTACTTACATTCCATGGGGAGAAAAAATTCCAGCGTAAACAATGAACGGAAGCAGTACTGAACTCGCGCAGCTATCGTGCTGTACCTGGACCAATGCAAACCTCAGCGCGCACCGACCGTGCGCTAGAACACAACATCAAAAGCAACACAGTTATATATAAACATAGGTAATTTTTTTCAGCCCTACATGGAGATGTAATTAAACAGTATAAAGCACTCAAGGAAAATCAATCTGCAGTTTTATATGCACTACATTGAGATCATATCCTGTACTGTAGTGAGCTGTGAGCCACCAACACACAGTCCCTAAAACACAGCTCAGAGATCACTGAAAGTCACGGTGCATTTGAGCTCCCCTACCCCACACTCAAGAAAACTAGAAATTAACCAAAAATGATCAAACCAAGTTTAAAATTCCTAAAGTATTTAAATTCATTCAACCATTGGATAATTAGATTTGGTTTGCGAAAATATGGGGCTTTTTAAAATGGTGGGACACAGCCTGTTTCCAGTGAAACGCTGCTATTCAAATAAAACCAAAACAACCACATACATGGATATGATCTTCCCAAGTTAGTTCACAGGTAACATGTCAGTCTCAGAAGACAAAGTTTCTAAACTGTGCTATGGTTCTAGATACAATTAAGAAACTTTTAAATGAAGAATTTATAGTGTCATTTCAATCAAAACAACATAATGAAACTAAAAATGTATCACTGTTTGAAGAAAAAGCAACAGTTATGATTTAGACACTACAGTAAGTTGTAGAGACTGTAGCACTCCAACAGTTAGGTTACATTAAGAGGAAGCATTTGATTTTCTCTGGTGCTTTCAGGTTTGGGTTCAGTCAAGAGCCTGTTTCAGGCAGTGCTGTCCAGTGTTTGTCCCAAAGGGCTTGCGCTTGCCGGTTTGAGGAGAGGGTCACTTTCCATTTCTTGTTTCACACATCTAAAATGAGAAAACACCTGTTACTTAGGAGACAAAACACTATTTCCACAGGTAAAATGCTTTAAATTTGATACAAATAATTTGATGTGCATTTAACAATTTGTTACCATATAACTGCCCAAATCCTTAATCAATTAGCACTTTGTTAATCCCACCACTGTTAATTTGACAGTTTATTATCTCAATAATAAAAGGAGAGGCTCCACTTCCTCTCCTCCCAAACCCAGCCAAGGGAGTAATCTGCACCCTCTCCAGGTTTCTGCTGAAAATGAGCTTTGACCCCTGCATATCTCTTTTCCAAGGGATTGGGAAAGATTGCAAGAGAGAGAGAGGAGCAGCTGGAACCCCAAGGCCACTGCAGAGTCACTCTCCTTACAGAGAAATGGGAAAGGGGCAGTTGAGCTGAGGAAGGCCAGAACTGCTGGAGCTGTCATACTGGGCTGTGGTCACACCACAGCCACCACACTTCACACAATCACTCCTGCTCAATGCTTTGCCTTTGACACATGAAAGTGATGGGCTTGATCATCCAAACCTTCCTCTGGTCCTGCTGGAGGGCAAACAGCCTTTGGCATTTCAGCCTTTCTGGCCAATCAAACCCCTCACATGTTACTTGTCTAAAAACTCTCACAGGGTTAATTTGCATCAGTGCAAGGGAAGTTGGTGGGAACCACTCACACAGACATTGGTCCATTTCCTGTCCTTGGCATCTCTGTGGTTTGTTGGTCCAACTCAGACAGCAACTTTAAAATATTCAGTGCAGCCTAAAGAGAAGAGAGAGCACTCAGCAAGTCAGCCTCTAGCCAGTTCAGTAATTTAGTGAAAGAATTCACTTAACCCAAACAAATGTTCTTATTTTGGCAATATTTTTAAAGAATTTTTTTAAGTTCCACAGCTATGGTGGAAAATGCAAAGGTGTAGAATTTCACCATGCTTCATAAAACAATTGGATGGTGTTGTAACTGGGGATTCCCACTGCACTTGCTTCAGCACTGGGGGAAAACTAACACACCAGGACTAGAAACAACAAGAAAAAAGACACTAAATTAGTAACAGCTCAAACTGTGCAGAGCTTAAGACAAACGACACAAAAAACCACAGAACCGGAGCCCTTTTCCAAAAAAGAAAGCAAGTTACACAAGAATCAAAACGCAGGTGGGGCCCACGTGACTGTTCACTAGGGCCAGTGTGACATGGCTCAGGCCAAGGTCAGTCCCCTCCCTTGAGAACTGACATTTCCCACTTCATTCAGACCAATTTCAGGTGCAGCTTTCTGACATACCCCTGACTCTGGCACGTGCCTTAGTGACAGCTGAACCCTGATCTGAGGAGGGAGCTCACAGTGACCCCAGTCATAGTGTTCAAGCTCTAAACCAGCCACTCTTTCCCGTTCTTCCTCCTGCCCTGACTGCTGTGCTCAGTCTGACTGGAGCTCTGCACAGCAGAATGTAGAGATGGACATGAAAATTTCCAAAGAACAATGAAATCTGTATCAAATTGTGTCCATCAGGAAAGTACTGCAACAGTTTTTCGTCTAAAAATCAGCAAAATCAGATTTTCCTAAGGGTATTCACATATTGCAAGCAATTGCTTCAGGCTGCCATACTCAGCTCATCTCTTGAGCCCAAAAGAACAAGAACAATTCCTCTGAATGGGAGCAGACTGGGAACATCTTCTCAGCTCCACCTAAAGTTTTTTACAGCAGAAGTCCCCTGCAGGTTTCACTATAGCAAGTTCATTCTTTCACAAAGAAATATTTCAGCCACTGGTAATAAAAACCCTTTTTTATATCCATTGCCGAACTGCATTTCTTCCACAGGGGATTCCACTTCTGCAGCAAGTCTGGGGACACGAGCCCAAGTATCACAGTTCCCACTGAAACATCAGCCCATTCTGAGATAATAAGGAAATAAGCTGAGAGGCTGTCAGGTTTATATGTTCCTTTTTGTGCATTTACTGTCATTGGCTCATGCAAATACTGTCAAGATGAAGCAAATGTACTTTTTGTGGACCAAAACTGTGATCATATGATCAGCATATTAAGCATTATTTAGATTACATTCTGATGTTGTTAATCATTATTTCTGCAACCTGTGAAATGTTTGACAAAAATGATCCAGTGAACTGTAGAACATGTGGTGATATGAAACCTTGGTCTCCCCTCAGGGAAGGCCCAAGAGCAGCATTTCAGCAAAGTTCATCATACCATGTCGTGGCAAGACTCCACATCCTTTCCAATCCCATGACTGATCAGTGGTGGCTGAGAGGAACAGTTTATAAGAGATACAAACTCATTCTTGTTATTTTTTGGAAAGTCTTTATATTCAACCTGAAGAAAAGAGAAGGATTTATTTCTTTTCAGTTAACCAAGTACAGGAAGCATATCACAACTACTACAGATTATTTGCCTATATATGAAGCCGAGCCTTTCTTCTCATCATTCTCTCAGCCAGTAAAACCACTCTATTTGAATTTAACCTCACTTACAATGCTTTTTAGTACTCACAAGAGCTTTGCAAGGCTCCTGAATGCAAGTGGCTGCTTAATAATGATTGTTACTGGAACCTTTATTCTGCTCACTGCTGTCCGCACTTCAAATTTCTATACTATGCTTTCTGATCCACTGAGTTCATCTGTCATATGAATATAGGAACTTAGTGAAATTTTCATTAAAGGGAGCAAACATAAAGAAATGCAGAGCTTACATCAAATGCCAATATATGACAGATTAGTGAAAAAACCTAATTGATGATAAAAAACTAAAAATTGATGATTTCACATCAGCCAAGTTCAAGTCCACACTGTCTTCCTATATTATGACAATTTTCAGAAAATGCTTCCTTAATTTTGTTCTTCCAAGACCTCAGAGCAGCACTGAATTGGGACTGAGAATGGTACAGAAATGCACATTTGAAAATGAAATTTAAAAAGATGTAAAATTTGGTATGTGTCATAGGTAAAGTGAAACTGTTACATAAATTTCAGCAGGCACAGAACTCATCTCTCACCAGCAAAACTACAAAGCTTTTGAACAAACAAAAGGTTAGACCAGCTTGGATAGTTTGGAAGAAGTCTTGCAAAGCTGAACATTTACCTGGATTCCTTGAACATTGGAAAGATAGTCCAGCTGCTCGGAGGGCCTGGTTAGAGGCCCATGGGGGACATGGCCTGAGGAGTTGCTGCTCTTCAGAATGGTCTCAGCAGTAGGAGAAGTGCCCCCATAGAGCAGCTCCCTGGCGATCATTGCCGTCACCGTGGCCTTGGCGGGGTTGGGAGCTGCCCGACTGAACTCTTTGGTGTGGTGTCCTTGATTGGCTCCTACAGCCTGTGCAACCTCAGGGACCATGGGAAGAATTCCAGCAGGAAGCTGCTGATGGCTGAGATAAGGCATCCTAAACTCATCTTCTTTATTACCTGGGAGGAGAGAGGTGCACGCTGAAGAGCTGCTGTTTGACAGTCCTCCTGCAGGCACACACAGGCACCAAAAGTCACTTTGGAAAAAAATAATTAATTTCAAATTACTTTTGAAATACTAACAAACTTGGTAAGCTCAATTGGCCTTTGGAGGGTCAGAGCTTCAGCATCATCAAGACAGAGTTTTCTTAATGAATTATTGACTCAGTGCAACCCTGCTTCTGCCCTTTACCTCCAGGAGGAGCTTCTCCAGGTCAGTTAAGCTCACAGACACCCAGCTGCAACCATATTCCAGATATATCTTTTGCTCTCAGAATTTTTTTATTCCATAATTTGTAGGAGCAAATAATGAAATCACAGAATGGCCAGAGCCACCATTAAATGATGTAAAGTGAGTGACAGACCACACGTTTAAACTATAAATTGTGAGAACAAGCAGGTGGGAAAGGTAAAATGGAACATGAGCACAAAGAGGCAAGACTATTTACAGCAAATGTCCAGCCACAGTCAACTGAAAGCAATTTGCTGACATTATGGTATAAGTTAGATTAAAGAGGGATAATAACAGCTTTTTAAGGGGAACCCAGAAAGAGCTATGGATGAAACTTGCACAGGTGTGCTCAAGAAAGGCTGGTAAGACAGTGCCACCAAAATAAACCAAAGAGTCATTTTTATGGCAGAACAGATTAATCAATTTCTGCAGGGCTGAGCTGTTTCAAATCTAAGGATGAAAGCCAAAATTTGTAGATGGAAGAAAACAGGGAGAGCAAAATCTGAATAGAAAGTCAGGAAGTTTACCTGAGATCTTATGGATGCAGTCAAATAGTACTAAAGTCCAAGTCAATTCAACTTACTATAATTTAAACAGCAAAATTATACTTAAACACATAAAGAACCCGATACATGCTCTCCAGAACAGCAACCTGTGGTGACTGATAAACTTTCCACAATGATTCCTCCCTGCAGACGACATTCCAGAAAGCAATGTCTGTGTACACTGTGGCCAGGTCTGGGGCCTTTTGGTTCCAGCCTGCCACCCTGGGTGTGACCACAACTATCCACTGCCTGAAACAAGTGCAGGCACAGCTCCTGCTCTCAGTCATCAAAGACCAGGCACAGACTGAGATTGTTCTCAACAAGGCCATTCCTTCCCTCTCCAACTCTGCCTGAGGTTGACCAGTTAGTACTGACACCCTTTCCCATCTTCATGCCAGGAACAGGGGCCTTGGGAGGAATAAGCTCTTTGGGGTTTGAACCAACCCTTTCCAAAGGCTCCACTTGGGTTTGCAAGGCAGCAGCTGCACAGCTCTGCTCATGCCAGTGCTGAAGGGACTGGGAACAGAGCTGACATCCCCAACAGGGCCCTGCTGCTTTCACCAGGTTACTCACTAGCTGAAGTCTCTTCAGAGCCCGGCTCAAAGAAGGTTACTTTTCTTCCATCACCTGTTTTCTTCACTGGGGTCTTAAAAATAAAAGGGAAAGAACTCAGACACACAATATCCCTTTAAATTTTTTCTTCCCTTCAAATTTTAAAGTTTGCAAGATGCAGGTGATCTGACCAACCAAAATTTTACTGAAGAAGTTATTATTCAAAAACATCAATAATTATGCTGCTAGCAAGAAAAGTTAAGTGATTCTTATTCATTGAAGGCCTAAAACTAACACATCCCAGAGAAGTGGTATTAGGAACACAGCTACCCAGAACTAGGTACCAGAATAAAGCCAGTTCAGCTGCCATTAGTCACTGGTACTGCTGAGGGAAGCACACCAGACACAAATGAGCACATACTTGAAAAGGAGAAAACCAACCCTGGATTTGCTGTTTGAAGTCCCTGGTAGCATCTGCTGAATCACCAACAGAACACAAGGCTCTTTCCCTAAGAGACCCACCAGAGAGGCCCCAACTAACTTTTCACTTCAGCTGTGACAAAGCTTTGTAAAACTATTGCTACCAGAGTACTATAACCTGCAAGTTGCTAAGAACAACACATCAGTTATCACAGGTTCTGAGACATTTCATAAAGCAGGAATACATTAATTTATCTTTCTGATGAGACTTTGATTTACTTGGAAACCCAAACACTTAATGTATTCAAAACACTGGATATTTAATATTTTTTCAGAGAGCAGTCCCCTCAATACAATTGTTTCCTGGCTAGGGCAGAGGGAATGAACTTTCTACCCTGTTACTGCCTTGCAAAGCTGCTTCTGTTCAGCTCAGCCTTTGCTCCAGCATTAACCAGCTGCTGCTTCCTAAAGACTCACCTTCTCTTCTGTCTTTAATGCTGGTTTTGGAGGCTGAGGTTGAGGGACTTTGAAACCTAAAATTTCCAACATATTTTCAGCTGCATTACGTTTAGCAACCTTTTTGTTCGTGCCCATTCCTTCAGCTGTGTGTATACCAACTTTCACCTGGACAGAAGAGAAAGAAAACTCAACCCTTAAGCAGTAGGATAGGGATTCCCTTATTAGTGATCTGCGTTTCCAGCATGCTGTGAGTCACAAAATAGTTCAAGTGATCATTGTTCTAAGCAGGTTGTCATTTATTATCAATAATCATTGGCCTTCAAGCACAAGAAACCCAAACAGAAGTCACACAAAGAATTGTATTTTATCATCTCACCTTCAGTAACCAGGTTAATGTTAATAAATCCTACATTAAAAAATATAAACAGCTTAGTATCTCTTAGCAGAATATTAATACTCCTGGTTAATTAAAATATTAGGCAGTTACAGCATAGACTACTGGTGCCCTGTGCAATTTTTTAAAAATAATGACTCAGATCACTTTTCTTGAACCTTTATCTTCTGTGAATATAGCCTATTAGATATTTTGTTAAATCATGTCATGGAAATCCATTAATCCTTATATCAATGTGACAATCTGATTGTCATAAGGCAAAAACTGAGATGCCAGCCACACCCCCAGGCTGTGCAGTCACACCAACCTGCATGACGAACTCCCTGCGCCTGGGGAGCCCACGTTCTGTGATGAGCATGTACTCGGGTTCCTTCTCCTTCTTGGCCTGCTGTATCTGGGCAAGTCTGCTAATGGGATTCATTCCTTGACCGTACTCTGGACTTGTTTGCAGCTATGTAGAACAGTGTTTAGGAAATAAGCCAAACTTTATGAGTATTTGGTTTAACAGACAAAATGCAGCATGCCACTGAATTAATTAATCTCTAGATTTTAAAAACACTGAAATAAAAATTGTTTAATGAAACACTGTCACAGCTACAGGAATACTGAATTTATTTGGCTCCACCATCACACTTGACCACATGTAACCTACGCTGCCCATAGCTTTACAAATTCTAATCCTGCTATATTAGGAGGGACAAGCTTGCAGGAGAGTTTGTACAAGCAAAATCAAGCAAAACCCAAAGCTGTAAAGTCTGAGGCTTTAAAGTCAGAGCTTGATTTTTATGTGCTGCTCTTTCCTTTAGAAGGTTTCTCTTTCATCCTGAATTAACTGATAACTCCTATAAAAGTGGTGTCAGGACCCCATTAGAGTGGGAGCAAAGCTCGTTTGTTGCACCAGAGGGCTGGCAAAGGCTGAGCAGCTGAAGAGTGTTTATAACTGACTCACAAAAGCCTCTCTGATGATTATTTGAACAGTCAAATTGCCAACCTTTTCCCACTTACCTTCACTATTGATTTTGTTTTCTTTTTGATTCGTGGCTTCATTTTCTCAACCGTAGGAAGGGGTGGCAATTTTTTCAGTTCTTCTAGGACTGCTATTGCAGCATTTTTCTTTGAGATCTTCTTGCTCTTTCCTTCACCTTCACCCATGAATTCTCCAACTGATACCTTGGTTACAAAACTCTTCATATGAGGAGGACCACTTTCCTTGGTTACCTGTTTCAGAGGGAAAAACTGAGTGAAAGCGTGATAAACACTTATTAAAAATGGCAGGGCATATTGTTTATAGCAAACTTCTCTCAAGAACTAAGGATAAAGAGATTTTAGATTTTCATACAATCCAAAAAGTAAATCATACTCTAATAACATTCCCACCCAAATAAACATATACTTTTAAAAAATCAGATGCAGCAAGCAGTAAACAGTATTTACACAAGTCATTAACCCATCTTACTTTACTGATTTACTGTTTCAGTATAAAAATAGGACTGTTCTATTTCACCAGTGTGTACTTCCCCACAGTTAACAGCACTTCATCAAATATATCATGGAACAGCAATAAAACATTACAGAGAAAGAAAGTCTTTGGGATCTAGCATTTTAGTCCAGAAATTCTGATTTCTGAACTCTGAAGTTCTGAAGAATTCTGGAGACATCTAAGAGATAGCTGCCCACTACAGATTTAGGCTTTTAACTCCATTCATAACACATCGTACTCCAAAATATCCATATAGTCAAAAAGATTGAATTAAGAGCTTCCACCCACAATTGGCTTGTGTGACAGTGAACATTTACATTTTACAGTGATGCTCAAGCTAATCTGCAGTAACTGAAAGTTTCATATAAAATTTCACAGAACAGTTTCAGAAGCAATTTAGTTACACATACTTGCATTTTCTTACTATAGTAATTCAGATAATTAAATGTTACTCTGCCAGCTCAGGAAAGCAGCATGATAAATTAATATTTTAGCGAAACAGAGATGCTCCTGTGGAAGCTCCTGATTTAAGATAACTGAAATGATCAAGGAGGGCAAAGAGGCAGCAAGCAGCCAGGCCAAAGGGAAAGGAAAGTCAGATGCACATGAGGTCACCTCATGGCAAGAAAAGAAACCTATTTGTGAGATTCTGCACTCGTGGGTAGTCCAGATCAGCGCTTAATTAAGCAAATACTTCCATATGTGTCTTTCAGAGTGAGCTCTACTCCTTTGCCTCAACTCTGCACTTCCATGTTCTGATCATTAATGCAGGGTTGTGTTTTGGTTCTTCACTGTAATAGGTTTTTCCAAAAAGCTTGAAAAAAAGATTGCACAGACAACCAGAGCGTAGCTGTTCACTCCATGTGATCATTTTAGGACATGAATTTGTGAACAGGTGGGTTTTTCTTTTTTCTTCTCTTTACCATATAAACTCCAAGACTATCAGGGTGACTGTCAAAGGTTAAAGTGTATTCACAACTAACAAGACATGTTAAAAGTCAGTTGTTTGGGTTATCTAGTGGAGACTCAACTTAGTGTGTACCCTTAATAGTCTAATAAAAACAAATCTAGAGCTTGTAAAGTAAACATACCTCAAAATTCACAGGCAAGTTCCTTTTAAGTGCAATCTCAAAAACTTGGCTTATTTCAGATTTATTGAGATTTTCATCATCTGGTTCTTTTCCGTTAACCTAAAAGAAGCATACTCTATTTAAAATAAAGATCCTATATAAATTGAATTTTATCCATTCAACCACTTTACTGAACTCTCCAAATTTTAAGTACTCTAACCTTTACTGCCATGTTACACACATGTGGAGAAATGCAGCCCACATACTACAGAACTGAATCTTAAGAAGCTCATTAAGATGTATGTGTAAAAGCTTTCAAACCTTCATATTTTCAGGTGCTCATTACAAGAAAGAACAAATGGAATAAGGGCCAATAGGTTGAAAAATGTGTTTACAGAAAATGAAATTCAAGTGCAAAGTGCACTTATTTCCAAATGGAAGTACCTTTATGAAATACAATTTTCATATACTGATTGGACATTTGCAACAAAAGCACTAAGACAGGATCAGGTAAGAGAAAGGGCAGAAAAATAAAGATTCTGAAAGTGGAACCAATGTGAATGAGGGATGGCTGACGAGCCCCTTGCACAGTCCTGTCTTTTTACATGCTCCCTTTTAAGTGCTTCATCTGCAGCTTTGTTTCCTCATGTCAAGAACATCCTATCAGGAATTTGCCCTAAATCAAACGCTGACCATCCCTGAGAACCCAAACCTGCTGGGACAACAGTGCCAGTGAAGCTTTCCTACAGGTGCATCCATGTATCTCCAAGTAAAACTTTGGGATTCCAAAAGTGTCTTCACTGACACTGGTGTCAACATGAGCTAAGGCATGTCAACAGCAACAGAGAAATTTTAGGACTAAGTATCCAACAGTGGTATTGGAAAGATTACGATAAAGATGAACAGCAACAATATAACTGATGTATCACGCCATGATGCTATGCAAAAGGTAACAAAAATTATTTAAGTAGCTTATTGGAGCAGCACAGAGGAGCAGAGTTAGAGAGCTATCATAGATTAAAACTTGTTGGATGGCAGTGAGCTTCCCCCATGTCTGCTACTAACAGGTCATTTTAAAACACAAAGGATTTTTTTGTCTCATCAGTTAAGACAGGCTTTCCCCATCTTAAAAAAAAAAAAAAGTTGCTAAAATTAATCTAAAGTTTTTAGTCCTCCAACTGTCCCATCAGACTTCCCACTGTTCTCACGGGCTGCCCTTGTCCATCAGGCTGGAGTCTGGGCCCTGTGGTGCTATGGCAGGGTCAGTGCAGGTCTGAGTGGGGCTGTCCCAGAGCCCTGCGCCCAGCACCGTGTCCTGTGTGGGGCAACATGGGGGAAACACGGGGGGAACACGGGGGGAACACCAACATCGACTACAGCTGCCTGAAGTCTCCATCATGAGCTGCCAAACCCCAGTGCCAATGCAAATGCCAAGTTCCATGGGACAGCAGCATCTTCCCAGGAGCAATGTGGAGCTCCTGAGGCCACGTTCACTCCAGCTCTGCCAGGAAGGGCCTGTCCCTACCCTCACTCACCAACACTGGCACAGCTACTTCCATCACAAGCACGTTTCCTCTCCTGGCAAGTTCAGATAGACTCTAGCTTTTCAAATTCCAGTGTTTTCCTTTATGAAGATGACCATGACTTCTCTTCATTGGGTAAGATTTTGCCACTTAATATCATCTCAAGAGGATACAAATAAATAGAATGGAATTATCTGCTCTATTGCAGTTTATGTTCATAACACATTCCAAATCGGTGTACACAGTGCAAAATGAAGGCTCTTTTCCTCAATACCTTCATCTAAAAAGAGTGAATTATTAGCAAAATAACCATTAACAGACTATAGCTATTTTACTGATTATTTTGCTTCTACTTGAATTCTGGATCTGTTTACTATATAAATCAAAAATAACCATACACACACACTCTCCCCCTTTCCCTGCACACTTCAAGGCAGATGATGCTTAAAGTTTGCTTTTGAGGTATTTTGCATGTTTGCATTGGCTAAACTCTCCAAGAATTACGTGCCTCTAAATCTGAATGACACCCCGAAGCATTTACTATTCTTAGCGCTCTCTCATCACATTGTTCAAACAAATTCCACAAGTCCTGTACTCCATTACAGAGGGACTTGCCCTCTTCCAGGAACTCCTTCCAGTTCCCTGCCCTTCCTCAAGACTGCTTGTGAGCAAATGCTGAAGAGTGGGGAAGTGCTGCCCAGAATTGCACTGACCAACCACAGCCTCCAGAGCTAAAGAGCACAGCTAAAGAGCAGCTGCTATTTACCAGGTGAGCTAGCAACAAACACAGAAGCAAATTTTGAGGCAAAAGTAGAATTCCTGCCTAAGGATCGTGCTAGGAATGATTTCCCAGCTTTTCATGTTTCCTAAGCTTTAAGTCAATGCTTTATCATCTGTCTTGGAATATGCCAAATAACCCCATCCTGCGACTCCACCAGCACGTCCAACCCCAGGCACACGGAGGGTCCTGGGAGCTCTCCCATCACAGCCCCCTCTCAATGCTCCAACATTCAGCTCAGTTCTTCAGGCAGGACTTGGTCCAGCCAAGGGCCAATATACCCCTTTTTTTCCTGACATTTGCTCCTAGATCTGCAGCCCAAAAAGGTGTGGGGAATGCTCATTCTTTCCCTTAAAGTCTAATTTTACTCAAGGATTCCTTCTTAGAATCACAGAATCATTTAGGTTGGAAAAAATCTTTAAGATCATTGAGCCCAACTGTTATTACACACTGAATATTTTCTAATTTAAAAATACAAGAGTAAAATTCCATAAAAACAAAAATTTGTAAAAAATTTCCCCGAGTAATAAAAAAGTACAAAATTACTCCCTCATAAAACATGTGAGTTCAAACATCAAAATATTCTTTTTACACACAAACAGAAATACGAAATATAACTACATTTAAAAGGAAAATTACTGGCATCAAATAACTGTTAGGAGGTATCAGGATTATGTCTGCTTCTGAAATCTGCATTTGCCTCTGTTGTATCCAGGCATTTCTAACAGCATCTCTCATCACCTCACACTCCTGCATCCTTTCAGGCCCTTGCCTCACTGGATGAAGGAATGAACAGGGCTCCCTCAGCACCAAAACCTTCCTTACTCCACCTTCATCCTGGCTACCGTGAAATGCTGCTGCAGAAACAATTCTCTCAGACATTCATAAAACTGCAACAGTTGAAAGCCACAAATATCAATGAATTCAAGTACCAAACTTTAAATGAAAACTTGATTATCTAAGTACTTGTTATAAACCAGCACACCCTGTTCCAAGGCCCACTCTTCTTTCCCTAAGCAGTATTTCCTACTGTTCTTCTACAGACAAGTCAAATATAAACTGAAAAATAAAACGACAAATGCAGTTTTCTCAGGGTCAAGACACCATTCAGGTCCAGTTTTATTAATAAAATAATTCTCCCTTCTTGCAGTCTCTTGCATCATTTACTTCCTCTACCTCTGGATTTACAGCCCTCACACAAAATGAGAAATCCTACAACTGCAGTTTGCTCTGAAGACCTCACATTACCCAACACCAAAACACAATTCTATACATTTTCAGAAAGTGACCTGTACTGAAGCATTTCTAAAACAGTGAACAGAGAATAATTCAGTGACATGTGAGCCCTGCAGAGCTGCTCTCCCTGTGTCTGTGCTCCCTGAGGGGAAAGGGGTCCACATGAGCAGTTCATCTGTTTTGAGGGTGGGTGCAAAAGGGGGATGTTCTGCACCACTGACACAGAACAATAGTCCAGAATTTTAGGGTTCTCAGCACTGAAGGGGAACATCCTCCTCTGCTTTGGCCTCTCCTGCATGAAGACCAGCTGGCCCTTGCCCACACTGTGCCAGTCACCAGTTCAGATTTCAGTGCAGGGCACAGCCCAAGCCCTAGCTCCTGCTCCCAGCATCACTCTCTTTTCCCAACAGCATCTGAAGTCCCTAGGAGCCTCAATCTTTCTCTCTGCATTCCTCCAGGAGAGCTTTCCCTTACCTGAAGCACCTCCATCAGTGCCTCCCAAGCCTCTGACCTGAACTCACACCCAGTGCTTTTGCTCAGTCATCTGGGCCAATGCTCACACACACAAAGTTTTAACTCAGTGTCCCTTGGCTTCATGTTTCTTCAAGCCTCTTGCTCTGCCATTCCTGGTAGATCTCAGCTATTTCTTTCTCAGTCTGAGACCCCTTGGCCAATCTTCATGTCCCGATTCTTCATTTTCCTTCTTCCTCAGCACACAGCCAGACCCCATATCCCGCCAGCTCTCTCACCCCAGATTGCAAGTTACAGTTCTGGCTTTGCCCAAAGCAGCCAACACACCTGAAGGGGTGCAGGCTCCAGCCAGCCCAGCAGCAAAGCAGCTCCTGTGCTCACAGTGAGACTAAAGTCACTCAACAGCAAAGCACGAGAAACACAATGGTATTGGAATGGAAAGTGCTGGGCAGCCAAAAATATATGAAGGGATTGACTACTTATATTCCTATCAAAATGTGTGTAAGAGTCTACTACTTTCATGCACTTCCTGCTCTTCTAGAACTTCCATGGTTCTTCCCAAAGTCATGTAGGAATTTGTCCCAGGAGTAAATCCATGCCTGAGTTTTATGTTGCCCATTTATGCACTTCTTCAGAAGTTTGTGTATGATCTGTACCTGGTAAGATATTAATTCCTATCTACGCTTCCAGTGCTCATATCTGACAGAGGTCTACAGCATTGCTGTGGAAAAATATGACAGTAAAAAAATTAACATAACTTCATCTGGGAAAATTCTAGTTCCATAGAAATTTATGCTTTTAAATCAAAGTGTTTCTATTGACACAACCACTGCTACACAGAATTAAACTTCCCAAATGACCCCTTCCTCTCAACAAGGAAAGAAACCTACAACAATACCCCAGTTTAATCTAGCAATTTATGCTTACAACACTAAGATTAATTCCCACCTCTGGTTTCTCAGGCAAGGGCTCATTCTGCAGAACTTTCAGAGCTTTAGCAGCTGCATCATGCTTAGCTGCTTGTCTTGTTCTTCCCTTCCCATGAAACTGCTGCCCTCCAATTGAAAGCTCCACTTGATAAAGTAAAGGTCCAACAGGAAATGGGTAAAAGTACCTGCAAAGAGAGAGGTAAGTAAGCAAATGATTTGGCCTACAAAGCAGACACCTAAGTCAGATGTGAGTCAGTCTCTTCCATACCAGTAACTATACCAGCACTGAAGCACTGGTTTTAAAAAGCCAAATTTTTATTTAGACCCTCAAAGACTTTAGTGAGCTACCTTCAAAACAAATATTGACATTCCTTGCTTTACAATAGGAACACATTTCTGACCAAGTGCTACGAAAAGACAACATAACTGCGCTGCTATGGACTTGGCAGGGCACGAAGTTTTGAATTTGAAGTTCCTATGCCCGTATAAATTTCTTTAAACTGCAACTTTATATAGTTTCAGAAGAAGCATCAAACTGTTTTCTTCACTTTTGCTTTTACGCAGAAAGGAAATGCAAAAAATATTTACCAAATATTTAGCTATTTGTTTAATGAAGCTGGCTATACCTGAATGCTCTCAAAAACACTTGAACTTACAGTCCAGCTCCCTTGCCCCACCCCAAAGAAATGAAGCACTGGAAATAAGGCAAGTTACAGGTATTGGTGGGTGTCCTGCTCCAAAGCTCCTGCCTCACAGCATGTCCCTGGCTGGGGGACAGTTCTGGGAAGGCAGCAGCGAGGCAGGAGCCCGCACCCCGAGCCAACACCTACCGCGGGGGGTAGGTACCGCCTCGCATGGTGTAGCTGTAGGTGGATCTCATCCCCGTGTAAGGGTCGATGGGTTTGTACATGGGCTTCTTCCCCAGCTTCATGCAAAGTGCGTTCAGCTCCACTGTAGGGGTGACACTGTCTGCAGAAAAAGGAACACAAAGAGCTGTTCAGCTGGCACAAGGAACTGAGGCAATTTAAACTCTTACTGCTGCCTCACAGCAGGGGAAAATGAGCTCAAATTTTGCCACATGTATCTTAAATTACTAAATTCCAAACAGAACTGCTAATAAACAAAAAGACAGTAAGTCTACATGATGCACATGAAAGCAGCCTAGTACAGTTGCGACAAATCCTGTTACAAAGTGAATTTGCTGGGAGGTCTTTTTGGATTTGTTTTGGGGGCTTTATCATTTTTCTCTTAATTTCTGCTAAATTACCTACATTTACAGTGCATCTAACAAAGTGCAGAAAAAGAATTTTCTGCAGTAAAGAAATTTCTCCAAATATACTCTTAAGTTACCAGATGTACTACATTCCTTCTGTGTCTCTTGCTTGCTGGGAATGATCAAACATTTCTCTGTCCTCAATGACCTAAGAAGGGTTTCTATGACTCTTCACTTTCAAATTGCAACTGGCCCTGTCAAAAGGCAGGCAAATTGCTGCTGAGGGCTAAAACATTTCTCTCAGTGCCGAGGGCATCAAGAACTGACTCCCAATCCATTCTCACTGGACAAAGAACAGTGTCATTTTTTCTACCATGGGTCTCACTGGCTCAGAAATCAGCTGTACTCCAGTGCAAGAGGTCTGGTGTAAGGTAATTGTCAAAAGAAAATGCCCTATGTAACAGATGCACAGATAAAATAAATACTTGCTAGCTGACAATTGCCACAGCTAAAAAGGCAGAATCACCGTTTTTATTCATCCTTATACAACTTCAATACCAAAAGCAGAAAGGTGTACTTATCTGTGTATAATTATTTTAAATCAGTTTGTTGTGGCATATACCTGGATTCTTGCCTTCACTACGAGATGGACGAGCTGTAGGTTTAGGGAATTTTGTCCCTTCCAAAGCTTTGGCAGCTGCTGCATGTTGCGCTTTTTTAATACTAGTTCCTTCAGCTTCCCAATGCTGGTCCCCAAGAGTCAGCTGCACTGTAAACACCTTAAAACCACAAACAAGTATTTTGTAAAAAGCTGCTTCAGAATCCACATAGTTTATTAGACCTTCTTACACAAAACAATGAGTCTTTCAGTGATGCACAAGCTGAGAATATGGTAATCCAAGCTCTCCTTTACTCCCATGTCATCTCTGGATTTCCATCACTTTGGACATCAACAGGATTTTCCTGGTTACTGAACAAGGAATTTCACAACAACTGTAGCTGGCCAGTATCCCAAGTGTCCTGCATAAGATCTGACAGGCTAAAAACTCAGAGCAGTGTGGGGAGAGGTGACAGCCCCAGGATAGCTACTGTGCCCATGTCACTGAACAGCAGATTGGAAACTCACCCTTCTTTGTGACACATAACTCACTCTTGCTTTAATCATCTGAAAGGTTTATTAAAGATATTTTTCATCAGTTTGAAGAAAGTTAAGTTCACACTGTACCATAAAAGCTTCTACATGCCCACAGGTGAATGAAACACGATTGAACAGATGTTCTGAATGTTATTCCAATACTTTTTGTAAATGTCAGTTCCATCACATCTTTAAGCTCATGTGACATTTTGGGAACCCAACTTTTTCTTCCCCAGGTACCAGCTTCACACTTCCCTACCACTGATGCTCTGGAGGGCTTCCCTCTCCTCTCCATTAGTCTGGATTATCTTGCAGCACAAACACACACGTTGCCTTCCCACTCCTGAAGGTGAAGGAGCATGAGCAGCAGCAGTAAGAAATTGGTATGAACATCTACCTTAGAATGAGCTGGACCTTGCTCACTCAGAAGCTTATACTCAGGCTGAATCTTGTTGAAACGGGCTAATTCATTCACAAGACACATGGGGGTTTTCTCTTTGGGGTTTGCCATGTTTGAAGGAGCTGAAAGGTTACATAAGATCAGATAAACGAACTGATAACTGTGAACTCTACTGTAAATTTTAATTAAAAAAAGAAATCTCAGTGGCTTAGCATCTAATTGTCTGCAATACTGGAACAGATAGCTTTGCTCACTGGCCAAACTGGTAACAACCTACTGAACTTTGGAATTTCCAAGCAATGCTCATGCATAAAAAGCACCACCATTAAATTAAAGGTTCTAATCCAAGGCAGAAGTATGAAGTTAGAAAACTCCTGCGAACAGCTCACATCTTATCTAGTATGTGTCAAGGACCAAATCTTCCACGTATTCCTCAATATCACTTGCTTTGAAAAATTTCAAAAACTCAGTTAATTTCATTTCCCTTCTCCTATTTTCCCCTATTAGCTATTTTTTATTACCCTTGATTTGTTCCATTGCATTTTGTTAGCCTAATATATTTATCACTAAACTGGTCATAAAAGAACTAAAGATAACAGAACTTAACTACTAAACTAAAACAACTACTAAAACTAAACTACTTCAAACAACACTTTCTCATATTTAAAACAAGATACTGGTAGAAAAGATTCATAGTAATGTTTCAAAAATTTAATGCCATACAATTAAAAATATTCTTACTATTACAAACATATCAATTAATTGCTGGAACTTTATGTAAAGGTATGCTTCCACTTGTCTCCTACAGATTTCATTCCATAGGGAGCTACTGCAGTTGGATAAATATTACTTTTAAATTACATGTAGGTGCAGGACATGAGGAATATATCATACCAAGCTATAAGCATTAAAAAAATATACAGTACTGACTCTATCTTACCTGCAGCTGCACTGGTGGATGTAACTGAAGCAGAAGGCAAAGCAGAATTCTGGATAGGTCTGCCTGCATTTTCAGAGGGCAAAGAACTGGTAGTAGAAGGAATACTCAAAGGCTGTGAAAGAGATGGGTTTTTATTCAGTATTTGGCTCCCTGCAAGGGCAGCAGAAGGATTCTGAATCTGAACTTGAGACATGTTCACTTCCAACCAGAGCAGATTACTGTAGACAAACAGCTTTGAACGCGGACAAACTCCAATTTTGGAAGCCAAATTGCTGACCTAAAATGTAAAGATGAAAAATAGATTATATGAAATATTTAGCATTCTCTAACAACCTACTGAAATTATTCCTCCATCAGCAAAAAGGGAAACAGTGTCCAACCAAGCACCCATTGTTCCCATTTTGTCCAGTTAGTCACTCACACATCCAGTTTGCACAGCACAGTTCCCCAACATGTTTCACACTTCTTTCATTCACAGAAGCTTTATTTATGCTTGTTCATTACTGTCCATGTCTTTTCCCCAGGACTGAACGCACTTAAGAAGCAAATCCTTTTTCTTACACCCCGAGCCACTGGTTATACACTGAACAAAGAGCAACTTCCACAGACAAATTACATTTCACGCGTTCTAACATTTGAAGTTAAACTTTTCCACTTGGAAAGCAAGAAATAAATGAAGTCTTTAAAAACAATATTTAGGGAATACATCCTTTATTGTTATCATAGAGTTTTCCCCCAGGATCACCAAGAATGCCAAGCCACTTATGAGGGGAAAAAGCTGGAGTCCAGCAGGAAATCCTTAAGTAGCTCTGTCTGGGAAAAGCAAAGGTGTAAGAGTTCATAAACTGTATCAGCCACATGAACTCTGAAGGTTACTCCTATTTAAGTAGGACATGTCTCAGTCACAGTTCAAGCATCGATTTAGAGTCACTTGGCTCTGCAGCACTATAAACAAGTGTAGGAAGTGCTCATGGGCACCTATGGCCATTTAAAAGCCCCTTCAGACTGCAGGACGCGCTCCAGCCCTTGTGCAGTGCTGTGACAGATCTTCCCTGTGCTGATAAATCAGTATTAGATTTCTCTTACACATGGATGCAAAATTATCTTCATGTTCAGCCAGTGGAACCTAAATAGACATGAACAGGCCAGCTGCCCATATCCACTTACAAGCCACGTATCAATTTATTTATTAAAAATACATTTTACAGTCAAATAAATCCATTTTACACACAAAGGCACTCATACATGCACACACACAGGTCACCTGCAGATCTGATTAGGACAGCAAACAAAAGTTTATTCTTTCCTAACTTATAGGTGAAAAGGAGAAATCACTGTTCCAGCTACCACCAGGGGGCTATTAGTAGCAACACAACTCCCCCAGTGCTCTGTGAGCTTCAAATTCTGAACCTGTGAATGGATTTCCAAATGTGAGAGGAGCAGGAATGAGTCACAGGGAAGTTTTTAGCTAGTTACTGACAAAACAAACTTAAGAGGAGAACCTAGATTAATACATTCATGGACAGAAAGATTTAATTATTTGTTAAATAAGAGGTAAGAAACTGCTGGAAAACAACAGATACACCACCAAATCCACCATCTGGAGTATTTTTACTTTGGAAAAAAACATCATAAGCATGTCAGACTTATCATACTACCACCTGGACAACTCTGTTTTTACTAGAGAACAAAAATAGTTCAGGTCTCATTAGTCCAGAAGACACACATGTAGATTATATTCAAAATAAATCCTATATTTGACTACTGAAATTACAGCAGTTACACACTAGGTGCATTGTAACTGTGAGAGTGGCATTAGAGAGTCTGTCTAAAGGACCTCTAAGTAATTGTAAGACAAAGAAGGAAAGTATTTAGAATAAGACTCCAGGGTGATAACTTTTCAATCGCTAAGTTTCATTGCCAAGAGCATCACTAGAATCACCGAAAATTTTCAGCTATAACACAGCAATAATAATTGCCTGGCACAGACTATACCGAAGTCTTGCAGATGAAGAAATGCAATGAAGTCTTGCAATGAGAAGAGCAAGCACTCCTTTCCTGCTGAAGTGCCATGTCTTTCTAAGGAACTGAAGTTACTTTAGCCACTCGTTTTGAGAAGACACCACCAAAAGTTGTTATTTTGATGTCAGAAACACCAGGATGTTTGAGATCACGCTGAAAAGGAATTAGTTTTCAGAAAACTTCTGATGTTTTCAGAAAACTTCCACAGGCAGTTTTCTTTTAAAGCAAGGCACTGCTTTTCACATGTTTGCCTGGTTTTAGGGAACCATGTTTCAGCTTCAGCACACATGGTGGAAGCGGCTTTGCAGTGGTGCAGTGCGGGCAGGAGCAGGGCACCATCCCCAGGGGTCTGGCTGCCCCAGAAGGGGGTCCCTGACAAGGACAGCCCAGTTTGCTTTTGCTGTTTCCAGCCTGATCCCAGCCAGAGCCCAGCTCTCCCCAGCACAGCTTCTCTGCTCGCAGGGACACGCAGGACACAACGCAGCCCCTGCTCACAGAAATCTGGTGGGATTCCAGGGCACATCCTCCCAGCAGCTCCAAACAACAGTCTGACAAAACCAACTGGAATCTGTGCTTGCATTCACAGCTCCCTGTGCAGGTGACAATCCTTCAGTTGATTTGCAGGAAATATTTCACTCAGGTAAAAGAACTCACTGTTCATCATTGCACATTTAACTACAGGTGATTGGGGATTCTGAAAGGGTTGACAGTGCTTTCACAAAGAAATACGCTCTTTACCCTACAACAGGCTTATAAAATGCTAACTAGCCAAGAAAAAGGCATCATAATAGAGAAGGTTGAAGCAAACAACTCATAAAGGCTGTTGCAGTGGACAGAGGAACAAAGATGCCAGAATTTCAGGACATTTTTCCATGTAATCAGGGGTTAGATACTTCAAACTTTTCAAGACACCTACTGGTGCAAGTAACTGACTCCCTACTCAATACTCAAGGTGTTGCCAGAACTGAAGCCCGCTCAGATATGCGAGAGTGAAAGTACAAAGGTTTTCTCACACTCAATCTGAGCTCCTTCCCCACCCTTCCACCGTTACTTTTCTCTAACTCCAAGAGTATTTGCAGTGTTACCACAACAGTGTTGCACTAGATGGTGATCCCCACCCGGGGGGTGGCTGCCCTCAAACAACTCAGTGCCTGGCAGGCAATACAACACTTCAAAGGATTTCCAGATGACTGCTCATCACTTGGTTTTAGATTTTTATTTTCTTTTCGTGCATCAATGCCTGGAACATTCCCAGAAATTTTGAACACATTAAAATGCAAAGTTCAGGTGTCACTAAGGTAACCAAAGAAATGCACAAAGGTGTGAGTATGCCAGTCCACTCAGCCAAAAAAGAAATTAAAGATCTTCATATATAAAAGAATGTAACATTTTTCGATAAAGTTCTCTTGGGTTTTTTTTCAGTGGTATAATTCACACAGGAGTTGCAGATAGAAGCCAGAGGACCACGCAAAAATCAAACACTTCCTATGGATAATCACATTTTACCCCAACTTGTCATTCTTTTTAATATGCTGCAAATAGAAAGGTAAAAAATCTTAATGCTTTGAGTAAGTTTCCAGTACCTTTAGGAGATCCAGAGAGTTAAGATCTGTATTTAGTTCTAAATAGGATATTTATGATGGAGAATGCCTAAAAGAAAAAACAGAGAATTAGCATTTTGCTTCCTAAAGGCACAAAAAAAATCTTCTGTAGAGAATCTCTCACCCTACACTGAGTTTGCCTCATCTGTTCATGAGGACTTGTGTGACCCTTCCATTACCACTGACAAACTGCTCAACACAGCTGCTCTTCCAAGAATTTCCAACTTGATCCAAGAATCTTCCTTGCTCTTTCCCCAACCCCAAGTGATGTTTCTCACCCAAGCAGTGGAATCTCACAACAGTGCTCTTTGCAGAATTACAGAGTCACTTGCCAATTTTCCTTCTGTAGTGAAGCTCCCAGTTCTTCTGTAGTGAGGCTCTTCTTCCTAAGAGCTCTAGAGATCAGCTCCCAAATTAGACCCAGACCTTAATTCAGAAAGCCAAATCAAAAGCAAGCCACAAACTGAGAAACTCTGGTAGCTATTAATCACAAAAACTGATATAAATTCTACCTTTTGGCTACATTTCCAATCTAGTGATTTCACTCACAAATAGTCTAAAACCATTTTAGAATAAAATCATCTCAGTGCTGCATATGAAACCTGTCATTGCATGCACTTCTCTGAATGGAATCAAAACCTATTTTATTCTACTTACAAATATAGCACAAAGTGTTTAATCCTTCTTTTCCATGCCTAAGCCAACTGCATGCAGATGCCAGCAACATCATTCCCAGCCACAAAATGGGGGAGATCTCAATCCTGATTAGGGTTAGAAGAGGACAGAGCTCTTGCATTTACTTCAAACATTCATTTCAAACTTTCAGGCTGACTCCTAGGACCAAGAGCAGCTTTCCTTCCAGGACAAAGGAGGATGCAGAGCCTGAAGCAGGCTGCCATCACACCTGTTGTTTACCAACAGGAGAGTGAAGAGGGAACACAAGAGGATTACAGTCAGCTCAACTTCTCTTCTACAGGGTTTCCTGGAGGCTAAACTAAGCATCTGAAAAACAAGTAAATGGATTATATTTGCAGGCAGGGTCAAGACCCAGTTGCATAAAGACAACAGAATTTTCTCCCCCAGCCATTCCTGGTAGCCCTGCCAAGAACAAACCCCTTGACCTCAGCAGGCACTGCCCACTGGTCACCATGACACACACACCACTGATGGGCACCAGCAGAGTGGAGAAGAGTTACAACCACCACTACTTCCCAACATAAGCTGACACCGCCAGGCTGCCTTAGAAAAAGCCCTCCCCGTGCTGAGATGCAGCAATAAGAACCAGCCTGAGCAAGGTCTGCTCTAGTCCTGCTCTGCACTCAGACACTGAGCCTTCAGCTGGAGCCCTGCACCCACATGGGGACCAGGCTCCAGGCAGAGGTAAGGGAGGAAAAGCCCAAAACAGCTTCAGAGAAATATAACCCATGGGAAAACTACTAAAGGATCTGAACTTGTGTATTCTGAAGAGGAGAGGGCTGGCTGGGGCCTGAGAACCCAGTTCATGTACTTGAAAGGATTTTGGAGTGGAAAAGAACAATCTGTTCTTTATTGTTGAAGTGACAGAACGAGAGGCAACGGGTTTAAAATGCATCAAGAAAACCATTCCTGACAGTCACACTGAAGCACCTGGCTTTGGGTGACAGAGGGATCGACCCCTCACAGGTGGCAAGCTGCGAGTCCTTGACAGACATCCACGAGGATGAGGCAGCCACATCTGCCACTGCAGAGGGATGGATGGATGGATGGATGGATGGATGGATGGATGGATGGATGGAGCCCTTCACTCAAGAGTCCCTCTGGGGCTGCATTCCCAGGACTACACTTCTGTGCACCTGGCTGAAGTGGCACCTTTCCACCTCTTATCCAAGGGACACAAGGGCCTGCCTGACAACAGGTCTGGCAGCACAGCACCTCCTGTGGGTCCTGCCTGCCTGGCTGGCTCTGAACTCTGAGAAACCACTTGCAAATACAAGAGACTAAACCCTCACAGGAACAGGTTTCACTCACTGTCAGGACCACACAAAGGTGTCCTGTTCCTCAGGAGGTGCAGACTCGGAAGGCTGCAGGTCCTGACACTCTTCCTGTGCCCCGTGTTAGGAAGCAGCCGTGACCCATTCCCACCCTGGGCGCACACACTCACCTCTGCTGCTCCACCAACACCTGGCAGAGCAGCCTGAGAAGCAGGACAAATGCCAGACACAAGCATCAAATTCATATTACAAGAGCTTCCTGACATCACCAAATAAAAGTCACGTGGCAAACAACATCCAAGAAGCAGGTTTAGCTATAGGACATACAATGTTACAGGAAGCACTGATTCCTCTCTGAAGAGCAAAGCTCCATGACACAGTGCACTGGGGCAGTCAGCAGCCCATGGCAGCCAGAGCAAGGCATGTTCCTTGTTCCTTACCAACAACAAACTGTTGTCAAGAAGGAAGGTTCATTTACCCCCATTTCACAGACACGAGCCCCGAGCCTGGCTCTGCCAAAGGGTGAGGGTACCTGGGGGAGCTCAGCTCACACAGCCCTCACATTTTCTCCCCTTGTGTGCAGACTGGCAAAACATCAGCATGTTCACTCCTAAATAAAACCATGATTAGAACGATTCCCTCTCTCCTCCTGTTTTTAAGGAGTTTTAAATAACTCCAATGTGGTGGCTGAGTCTCTTGTCCCACACTCAACTATTTTGAGGCACAAAAAAGAAATATCTGCAAACTCTAGGAGATTTGTTGAGATGCTCTGTTACCTAAAATACCTCTGAAAAACTCACATTAGGGGTACCTCTGTAACAGCATAAAATTCTAAAGCTGCTGCAACAGTGTTTAAGAGCATCTATTTACAATTGGAAAATCTAAACAAATACTCACTATAAATTGATAAACAATGACAAAATTTTGCAGACTTAAGGCTATTTGCACAAAATATAAAATACTGGTTGAACAATGTTTTCTCTTTAGCTAAATCTTCTGCAACGTTTCTGCAAGACAGGGTCCATCCCAAAAGTAACACTGTAGAAAAAAACGCTGCTCTTTTTGGTAAGGGCACAAACACTAAATTTTAAGCAAAGTAGTCTGGAAGCCAAGATATGGATTATTAATAAGAGAAGAAAAGCTAAAATTTGAAAGTAAAAGCTGAAGGAAAAGAGAGAACTACCCAACATACCTGTAAACCTGACAGTTCCAAAAATGCAAATTGATAAACCAGTAGTATAATGACTAAACACCTAACTGTTTTTTTCTAGCTCTGTTAGTGTTATGACAAAACAGTTCACGGATTTTGGCTTTTTTCCCTGCAGTAGAACAGGCCACAGAACCCATGGACACTGCTGAGAGCCAACATGCCCAGATCCTCTACACTGTCCTGGGGCATCTGTATCACCTCTAGTGAAATTAACTAAACTCAGCAAGGGTCCTGGCCAAAGGAACCAGAAAAAGGGCTTTTGGAATGTTCATTTGTTTCCAAAATAAAGCTGCTGCTCTTCAGAAAGATCTGAAAGGCACAAAGCAATTTCCAGTTTTGCTCTGTCCAGATTTTGTACAGTCACACCACTTCAAATTTATTTCAACCTATGAATAATTTTGCCACAAAACACATTTTGACGGACTTGTACTGATAGTGAAAATATGATTCATGATGTTATGAAAAATTCTGAACAGAGTGGCTGCTTAAAATAACAATATAAAAAGGAATTGTTTCTTGTATGCATCCTTTTAGAAGAGTTTTGAAATAAGTTTGTGATCCAACTTCAGAAAACAGAAAATATAGTAAAAATTCAGCCCTGGGGCTCCTTACGGTCTCATCAAGATGTGACAGACTTTCAGTGAATCTCTGTAGAAGTCAGAACAAACACATTTGTTGTGTGTACGACATAGTCAACAGACAAACCAGAAATCACTTTATTACACTGCAGCCACAGCTGCATAATCAGAACTCAAGTTCTCACGTCCATTAGTACTTACAAAAACCAAACTCAAAACATTGCCTCCAGTTTGAGCAAAGGAGCTCTGCAGTACACTTGCACCTTCTAGTCAGAAGAAACAAGATTTTATAAATATAACATTCCAAAAGCAGACAACAGACTTCATCCAGATATTTTATTTTGCAGATATATGTGCATATATATAAAAACACCTAACCTTCACTGACATTCCAAAGGATGTTCCTCTCAGGTTTGCCCTAATCTTGCCAGAAAAGCAACGACAAAAATACCCAGCAGATGAACAGATCACAAAAATGGCTCTGGCATTACACAGCCTCCCCTGGATGGACAACCCAAAGCTGCACTAGACAGACAGAAGCAGGGGAAAGATTTAAACGGAACTTGTTGCTTTACATCTCACGGAAAACGAATGTTCTCCTCAGGAAACGGGGAGAAGCGATCCTGGAGCAGCGACGGCTGCCAGAGCCGATAGGGACGAGGGGAAAGCCGGGGCTGCCCGTACAGCTGTGCCAGGAGGGCCTGGAGCTGTCCCTGTCCCTGCTGCCGCAGGGGCTGCCCCGGGCTCGGCAGTTTCGGTCCCGCCACCCTCGGCCCGGGGAGGATGCTGCGCTGCCGGGCTCGGGCACTCCGCGGCCGCAGCCGCCTCCCTGAGCCGGCTCCGCTGCGCCGGGAGCCCCCGCTGCCGCCCCAGGGAGCAAGGGGGAGCGAGAACCCCCCGCCCACAGCGCCGGGACCCCCGAAGCGCCGCTGTCACCGCCCGCCCCCGACACTTCCCCGCGGGCCGGGGGCGCGAG